ATGCAATAAAATAAATCCTAATGCTAGTAAATCTCCTAACATCTTCTACTACTAATAAATAAAAGTAACATGGAAATAAAATCCTAACATTACTAAAATACTAATTGTCTTGACTTGCACTCCAAGCATAACTTGAAGCACAAGTCGGCTGCCTCACTTCTCGCGCGCTATGCGCGCGCCGCCCGCGCCCTTTGCCTATGCCTATTGCGCATAGGCATGCCGCCTCGCATGCGGTCCACTCGCGTGATGAAGGATTGGGTGTTGCGTTCCCTCGACTTGTCTCGATCACGGCTTCGCCACGGCCTTGCTCTCGACGATAGGTGTGATCGACTCGGTTATTAGCCTAACTCTCTCACGATACTTGAGTTCACTCGGGTATTAGCCTCGCTACACTCTCGAAATAGGTCAGGTCTTAGCCTCTCTAAATCGTTGAACTGGCTTGGGTCTTAGCCTCACCAATTCGGTTGCATGATCGAATTCTCACGAACCCTAACACACGGTTTCGAACAAACATTCTTTTCTATTCAACTCATCCAAGACCCTCAAAAACAATGAGGGATGCTCCCTATTTATAGATCCTAATTACTACTAATTCTAATCTACCTAGAAAACAAATTAAAGCAATAAAATATTAAATAACTTAAACAATCTAGATATTATTGTGCAAGAAGGAAATTAAATATCTAGAGTCCTAAATTGACTAGATCTTTATCTTGCTTGGCTTGCACTCCAAACAATTCCAACTCATGCCCAAGTACTTCGCCGCCTCATTCTTTATGCGTCGCACGCGTTGCGCACGCTGCCCATGTACTCGTAGTCTTCGGCGGCTTAGGTCTCTTGCGCGCCTTTCTCGTACGCGCGCCTATGCGTGCGCCCAGTCCGCGTCCAGTTTCCTCGCGCGCGTGCGCGTCGCCACCCTTGCCTATGCCTACCACGCATAGGCATGCACTCATCCAATCGCGCGCAATCACGCGCCCTTCACCTCGTCCGTTCATCTCGCGCGCGTACGTCCCGCTACCTCGTACTCCTACGCCTGCGAGGTTTTGGTTGCTGCCCACGTGGCCTTCACCCGCGTGCCCAGCTAGCCCGCCGCTCGCTTCCCGCGCGTACCTCCCATCGCCCGCGATCCGATCGCCTACCGTGCACCCGCGTGCACCCCACGCTGACCGCATACTGACCACCCGCTCTCGCGCATCACCGCTCGATGCGCGCCTTTCGCCCGTGCGACCCTCGATCACCCCCAGCCATTCTTCGGCCTCGACGACCACTTCCATATCATTCCCCTCCTCTTCAAGACGTTCCTTGTCCCCAAGGATGAGAAAGTTCAGCACGTCCACATCATTATCTTCTTCTTCAACGGGGAATTCACCTTGATCCTCAGTCCTCAACTTAATGCGCTTTCCTGGTCGTCCAAACTCCATCTTTCCTCGCTTATAGTCAGTCGTAATAGGTCCAAGCGTTTCCAGCCATTGTACTCCTAACACAATATCTGTTGCCTTAAGCGGTGAGGCGTAAAGATCAATCCCCTGCTCGTGATCCTGTGCCATTATTGGGACCTTCTTGAATAATTGACTTTCCTGCAGCTCATGTCCATTGGCCACCTTGACACCAAACTTCTTGACTTTTGTGGGTACCAACTTCAGCTTTTGGGCTATCCTTTCGTCGATAAAATTTAAACTCGACCCCCTGTCCACCAGGACCTCTAACAACATATCCTTTATCTCGGTCGTGAATCTGATCATCCTAGGACCACGCTTGTTGCATTTCACCATATGCAACCAGGACTCTTCCTGCGGCTTTTCTTCTTCTCGTTCCTCCTCAATTTCCAATATAAAAATTTCTTTACCCTTGCACTTGTGGCCTGGCACAAATTTCTCGTTGCAAGTAAAGCACAAGCCTTTTTCTCTTCGCCTTTGTATTTCATCCTCCGTCAGCCGTCAGTAGTTACTAGTGGTGCGTGTACCATCGCCGACTGTTGGCTTGACCTCGGCCCGTGGGGGCGTATCGTCGACTGCGATGCTCGCGCGCTGAACGTCCGTGCGCCCTTCGCTCGGTCTGCGTGAGATGATCCTCGTGCAGTCGTGCTGCTTCCATGGCAGCCCTTGTTGACCTTGGCCTGTCCAATCGTACCTCCGCAGCCAACTCAGCCTTTAAGCCTCCTACGAACGCACCTACTAGTCCCTTTTCGGGCCAATCCCGAACTTGGCTTGCTATCCTCTCAAACTCCTTTTGATAGTCGCGTAGACTACCGGTTTGGCGGATCCTTGTCAGTGCCTCATCATAATCAAAGTATTCGCTAAATCCAAA